AAAAAAAAAAAAAAAAAAAAAAAAAAAAAAAAATGACCCTACCTTGAAATTGTCTGATTTACCCCAAACAGAACCATCAAAACCACAAATGGCTGCCTTAGAAACATTGCCCGATCCAACCAGGTTGTTGTTTACGAGATCTGCCCATGACATTTTTGTTGTTGAGAGTATCTAAATGAGACAAATAATGATAGATTAGACAAAAAGAAGAAACCCTCCAACAGCAGCGCAAAAAAAAAAAAAAAAACCGTGTTATTGTATAAAATAATCATCATCACGATGAAAAAAAAAAAAAAAGAATAATATGAAAAAGATGAAAAATCACACGACGTTTCTACACATATAAAGCGATTTAATAATATGATTTAAAGAGGAAAAAAAATTAAATAAACAAATAACTGAATCGTTTTTTTTTTTTCTTCCGATATCAACAACCAACAACAACAATAAGACCTAACAGAATCCATCAGAAAAAAAATCCTTCTGCTTATCTTCTTTTCTTTCGAACAAAATAAATGAACAAAAAAAATAATGGATAAGGTTCAAATGAAAAATTAAAAAAAGAAAACAAAAATAAAGGATAGAGCTAAATTTCAAATATATGATAAACAACATTCTATTAAAATGTTAAAAAGAAAGGAGAAAAAGCCAAGACAAAAGACTAGGATAAAAAATCAAATCCATCTAAACAACAACAACAAAAACAACAAAACCGGTGGACGGATACTGGACTTATGGTATACGTTCATTGATACATATATATATACATAAAGCATTTTTTTCCAGTTAATTTTCTGTGTATTCATGGGACCACATCAAATAAATCGCTCCAATAACATCAAACAACCAGAATATCGATACCACCTGCCTACCGTTAACCGTTGAACTTTACCATAGTCCAATTTGGACACAATATGGCCTTTCCTTCTAATATCTCTTTATACATTAACTCAACGAGCATCTCCCTCCGTTTTTTTTTTTTTCTTTTTGTTCCCTTCACTTGCTTCTTTCATCTCATCATCAAAACTAATAACACCAACAACGACAATAACAATAATAATTCTACGCCAATACTTTTTCACTTGAAGGGGCATTTATAGTTACAAATGGCAAAAAATCATCAACAAAAAGGTGGAGTTTGCCTAACCGCCATACCCGCCGTACCCATCTGTTGGTTGGTTGCTTAGTTGGTTGGTTGATGACTTTTTTTTCTTCTTTTTTTTTTTTTCTCATTGGATTTCACTAAACCAAAGTGAAATGTTTGGTA